ACACACACACACACACACACACACACACACACACACACACACAATGGGATACTATTCAGCCATAAAAACATAGAAAATTGTGTCATTTGTGACAACATAAATTAATCTGGAGGACATTACGCTAAGTGAAAAAAGCCAGACACAGAAAGAGAAATATTGTATGATCTCACTTATATGTGAAATCTAAAAAAGTCAAGCTTGTAGAAACATAGAGTAGATTGGTGGCTACCAGTTGAGTTAGACAGGTGGGAATGGGGAGATGTTGGTCAAAATGTACAAAGTTTCAGTTACAAAAGAAATTCTGGGGATCAAAAGTGCAGCATGGCAACTATAGCTAGCAATACTGTACTCTGTTGCATACTTGAAATTTGTTGAAAGAATAGATCACAAGTACTCTTATCACACATACACACAAACAAAGGTAACTATGTGAGATGATATGTCAATTTTTCACAATATTTGTGTATATCAAATCCAACATTTTGTACAACTTAAGTCTATACAATTTTTGTTTGTCAATTATACTTCAAAATTTTTTAAAAATGTGCCATTATTGCTTTACCACATATGCAGGACAATATAGACTCAAAGAAATCTAGTCTCTTTTTTGCCTATATAGACAATGATCTTGTTTTTCCAGCCAGGCTGAAAACACAAACTGCTACATAATATTGAAACACATAGACACGTATCAAAAGGGAAGTTTGTCTTTAAATTATTTAGATAATCATAAAAAAGAAGACACAAATGTAAAAATCCTTCTAGTTTGTGAAACCATGGTGGGGGAAAGATTGAGTCCACTGAGGTGAGGTCCAGGAAAGAAAATTATTACAGGACTTTTAACTATTTGGGATTGGAACAGATGGTAATGATGACAGGCAAAACAGGAGAGACAGAAAAGTACAAAAAGAAGACATGTCCTGGGAGTTTAAATAAACTTCAGTCAGCAACAGGAGTAAACCAAGTCAGGAAGAGACTAGGTGGGAAAAAAGGGCCAGAAGCTTTGGAAAAATCAGAATTTCTACTCAAATATATTTTTTTCTCTTCTCAAAATGCTCATAAGCATGAGATATCCCTGTCTATATATCAACAAGTAAAGTTTAATAAAATTGGGCATTAAGTAGGAATATATACGAGGGAATGCTGAATCCTTCTAAATACTGAGGGCCATTGTGTGATAGAAAGAGAATAATAAAGTATCAGAAATAAAGAGACCGAGATATTCTCATTATACATAGGATATTCTTGTGTCATGAATCTGCATGGCATCATTACCTACACTCCTATCTGATCTGGCATCTGTAAATACTTGTAATTTCAATCACACTTCCAAAGTCAAAACTTGTTCAGGTAGCCACTCACACCTGCAACCCCAGCAGTTTGGGAGGCTGAGGGGGTGGGATCCCTTCAGGCCAGGAGTTCAAGACCAACATAGCAAGACCCTCTCCCACCCCAATCCACTCCACCTCATCTCTACAAAAAAATTTTTAAATATTAGCTGGGAGTGGTGCTAGCCTGTAGTCCTAGCTACTCCTGCATCTGCTTAGTAAAATCTATTTTTATATGCTGGCGCTTCACTTTTTAAGCTGAGACAGTTACGCTTAGTTGGAAAAACGCGGTGATGCACGTCAGTTTTTCCGGATTTTTTTTTTTTTTTTTAGGAAGCAGGATTTATTGAGAAGACAGAATATCTTCCACATCGGGAGAGGACCCGAAAGGATTGTCCTTCTGGGCCAATTGGTGTACCGGGTTTCAAACGAGAGGGAC